ATTTTGGGGGAATGTAGCAAAACTTTAATGTATGTTCACAAGAAAGTATTAAGAGAGCCTGTGGACAGATTTTGGAGATAATTAGGAACTATACAGAGCTGCTGCAGGCTCGAGGGATGTTTGCAGGCTGCAGTGTTCCTCAGGGAAAGGAATTGCGCTGTAATTACAGGCAAGGTCAGTGCGTTCAGTTCACTGGAAAAGACGTGGTAAGAGCTGGGGCTCTGCTGAACATTTTTCAATGTCATTAACAAGACTCAGTTGATTCCTCTTCTTAAATGAGTGTCCCCTGAAATATGGATCATACGGATGTTCTCTGTGCTGAGAGGATTTTGATCCCTTTTTGAGAGAGAAGATTCATACCTGTAAGCGAAAGGACTTTCTTGTTCACGCTACATTTTTTTCCCGCTCTAAGGATTTTGAGTGTGTGGTCCAGTGTTGTAATTTTTCACTTTTAAAACAAAGGTAGTACGTTCTTTCTACTCTGAAACAGCTCCTTCAGCATCCCTCTGAGGTCTTTCAGGCTACTCCATGTTATCTGAGAGCATGGCATGCGTCCCAGCCTTTACTCCAGGACATTGTGGTGGCCATCTTAAATTCACCCCTAGAGATAAGCTTTTCTTTCTTCCCTTCTGAGGGCAGTACATTGAGTTCAGAAACGTTAAGCCCACATTTTACCCTAGAAAGCATTCAAATGCAATTCTGTTTGCAATTTTTCCTCCCCTGTTTCTCCCTTGTGCTGTACAGCTCCACCACCTTTGTAGTTTTACTGGCAGTGCTGAATGCGGGACTGTGCTGGGCCTGCACTAGGATTGATTCAGCTTCAAGCAAAAAAGGAAAAGCTTTTGAGTACAGTTTCAGCTGAGAGCCATGTGGGCTGCTGTGGCACTCACCTCTCACACTGCTACCTACCCTGCTGTGAGTGTGTGTGCTCAGCTGATGTAAGGTAGCTGGTCCAGGTGAGAGTCAGCTGCTAGTTTTGGAGGATGTGTTTTCGGCTAGATCAGCTTGCTGATCTGCCTGGTAGGAAGGGCACTAGGCTTCTTCCAGTTTCTTTTCCCCATGAACAGTGTAACTGCTTGTTTACCTCACTTCTTCTGTACGCTGGACTTTTAACAGTTTACTGTCTTTCATATTTCCAGGCCCCTTCCTTTTCCAAAATACGTAAATTTGGCAATACCCAATTAATAGCTTCTGACAGTTTACTTAAGGACCATTGCTGTTTTTCTTGAAAATGGTTTTCCTGAAAGCATTTTAATGGTGTTTCATTATTGGAATATTGTGTTGAAATAAGTTATGTCAATATTCACAATGGATATCTGCTGAGCATCTGCTAATGTAAGCTTCATTTCATTCCATTTGCCAAGAGATGTATTTTCTGTCTCATTTTCTTATGAATATATAGCCATATATGACGGACATTACAGCATCTCTATTAATGCACTGGCACTTACGATTGCAGTGGCTGGTATTACACCTTTGCCACTTGCCTGTTTCTGTGCAGCTCTACTGGGGTTACTGATGTCTTTACATCTCAAACCAGCATGACTGACTGTCCCGCCCAGGCCATACAGCTGCCATGGAGCAGGGGAGGAACTTCTGAAATTGCAGAAGGATGAAATTTATGGAAAGGTAGCCATTTAAGAACAAAGGGAACACAAATTAAGCTTGTTCTAGCTTTTTTTTTTTTTTTTTTTTTTTTGTCTTTCTTGGCATGGAGAACAGCTTTACAGCCTTTCTGGTATTTTAGTCCTCCAGACTGTGTATTTTTCTGTAATATTAAAGAAGGATGAGAACCTCAGTGACTTGCAGCACAATGGAAGGTGAATGAAACAAACATAATTAGAGGAGATGAGTGAAAGAAAAGAAAAAACAGTACTTGCTCAGGTCAAAATTTATATCTTTTTCTTTATGGAATTGGCTTTTTTTCCCGCACAAACCAGTTATCTTACTTAGGTCCTTTAGGAACTGAGTAGTTAATATTGATAAAGAGTTTTTGTTCCACTTGAATAAGAGTACTCCATTTATGTTGCTTTGTGAATTGGACTGCATAAACAAAAAGGTGTTATGCCTGGCTAGCTTCTAGCTCTGTAGCATATGGTTTGTAATAGAATGTCTGTATTATGAGAGTGTGTAGTATTTTGTTTTAGCAGTAACCTTGGAGGTTAATCCCATAACCACTATTCAATAGCTGGCGGGATCATCTGCTGTCAGCTTGTGCAGAACCAGTTGTGGTTTGATCCTTCAGAACTGGTCTGCTTTCCTTACCTCAAGTATCTTGCAATCTTCATTGATAGAGGTGTTTTATTTTTCCCTTCTTGCATGGCAGAGGAAGGGAAGGCTGCTGTTTCTTCTCATGCAAGTTTTATAGGAAGAAAATTGCTTAGGCTAAATAGCCTGAAATATGGTAGCTTGACTTTTCAAAGACTCTGTAGCTTACAGTTCTTTCCATAAGATTTTTGCGTGGTCAGGATCTTGAAAATGCAGGCTGTTGTGAGGGTTTTTTTTGTTCTTTTTTTTTTTTTTTTTATAAGGTAATTAATAATTTAGAATACTGTGTACTTGTCTGCATTTTCGTTTTTCTTTCTCTGCTTTCCCTTCCCTCCCAGTCTCCTTGTAATCTCACCTTCAGATACCCTACTGTAAGCTGTGAAGAGTGGGGTTTTGAATAAACATAAAATGCTGAAGAGCTTGCTGCAGTCTGGTATATTTGGCTGTGCGTGACTTCTTTCTGTCAACAAAAGAGAGACACCTCAATGAAAGATGCATGAGAACAAGCAAATATTTTTCTGGTTGTCTAACTAGCTTAATGCTTATATTCTTATATAAGTTAATGGAAACACTTAGGAGTTAAATTGGGTTAAATATTGACGCAAGTAGGAGAGCCACTGCTAATAACCTTTTTTTTTCTGCCTTAAATTAATACTTGAATTCACTCCTGTAATGTCAGAACATAACTTGTTGCTGGTTTTGCATTCAAGAAGAGCTATACCGCACAGCAAAACAAAATAATTGTAGATCCTTTTTCCTGTGCTGCAGGTCTAATATTTTTTGTATCATTAGATAATTACCTAATTTTACATCGCTGGGCTTTGAATCGTATTAGAGCATGGGTTAAGTAGCATCTTCCAGAACAAAGAAATTTTAATCTGCTCTTTAAGTGAGAGTAAAACCAGATTTGCAAGATTTGCTGCAATTTGTTGATATTTGGTGTCCAACTAGCGCTTAGAAATAACTAAAAACAGCTGCTTCATAATCCAGTGAACTTCCATGATGTGCACCTTTCCCACTCTGAAAGAATAGGTGCATAGAGCTTTAAAAACCTACTATTAGAACTGTAGTTTGAAAGTTTGATCTGAAAAGCTAAATTCTCATTATATGCAGAGCCCAACCTGCATTCAGGCAAGTGGTAAGATTATACTGAAGTAGCAGCTAGCTCTTATATAAGGCTTTTTATCCTCACCTTCTTCCACATGCCTTGCAACAGAGGTGGTTACCATTCATTTGTGTTTCTTGGAGGGGAAAAAGAAGGCAAAAAACATGCTTTAAACTTGTAGAGAAGAGCAGGATTATGGGACTGCTGTAAGGGCAAAAGAAAAATGGTGTGTATGTCTAAATCAGATACGGACTTTCCTGGGGGAAGACTTGCCTCTGAATCTTCTAATTAGGTTGTTTCTTAGGAAATATTCAGCAGATGGAAATAAAGGAGAGTGGAAAGAACTAAATCTTAATATGTATGTAATCTTAATTCAGCCTATCTTTTTGACTTACAGTCTTAAAGGTATTTTTTAATCTTGTCTGCTGAATTCAAGTACAACATAAAGGTGGTGTTGACCTTCAATGATTTAAATATAAATGCAGTCTTGTAGTCATGTCATTATTGATAGAGAGATACTTGAATAATGACTGAATGTTTTGTAGTTAGACATTTTCATCTCTGCCTGTCCGGCTTTCCTAACGCAGTTAGAATATTTTTAAGAAGAGAAGCCTTTTGTTTCTCTAATCCTCAAATTGATCATGAATCAGACTCAGATGAGAGGGGGTTACTGTCCAAGATGCAGAAGGGCCCTTTCCTCAAACTTGCTGATTTTCTATGCAGTGAATGAGGACAGAAGCTGCATACAAAGGTTGTACAAAGCCATGCTATGATGAAAGAAAATGGTAGTAGCCATTATTTTTATATCTTGTTTAGTTGTAATGCTTAAAAGTTTCAGTAGTGACTCACCAAACCTCAGGGACAGTTTTTCTAACTGCTTTGTAAACTACGTTGTATCCTCGCCTTGTTATCTATGTCTATAGATACAGATATTTTAAATTGTTATAGGTACATCTATGGTTGACTGAAAAATAGTGGTTACTCAGAAAGTGAGTTTAGTACAGTGTTACAGGTAGTGTAGGCAAGCCCGTTTTTACAGTGCTAATGAATGCGACCGATGCAATTCTTTGTTTAAATGAGATCTCTTTAGCAAGAGCTGTACAGAAGCAAGATCTTCATACGTATCTGTATACTTCAGATGTGTTTGGATGTCCCTGCTTGAGCTTGGGTTGGGCTGGATGGACCCAGAGGTGTCCCTGCCAACCTCAATCTGTCTGTGGTTCTTTTAGTCCCTTGGAATCTGTGTGTCTGTTCTGTCACTGACACCTCCCTTTCCAATCCTCATTCCATGGAATTGTGGAGTCTTTGTTAGGAGTTTGTCCCAGCAATTCCAGTAAAAAAAAAAAAAAAGTTTGTTTTTTTCCTTTTGTGTCTTTCTTGAGAACGTTTCATCAGTTATGCATATGAATTGTGGAGAAGAAAATATTGTACTTTGTGTCTGAATAACGCATGTATCTACATACAATATAGATATTTCATATAAAAGCGCTATATAAAATAATTAAAAGTCATGTTTTGTTTCTTATCACAGTAGTTTCTATATCTCTAAATTGTTTTGTGGCTTACTTTCCTATTTTTTCACTTTTCTCTTTTTTTTCCTGTGTGTTGTGTGCATTTTGTCTTGCAGAGTTGGAAGAAGGCTGAGATTTCAAGCTTTGAGTGACAGGCACCTTACAAGATTACCATAGCTAAGCTGAGAAGGCAGTTGCAGCTCTGAGTACCAGGTTCACCAAGCTGGTGTATGTACTGCACGTACATGAAAGCGCACATGTTTTTGTCATCGCATAGACTGACTTTCACGTATTCCTGAGAGCTTTGCAATTGATGAAAATTAATTTAAGTACCAGATGGAGCACCTTTACAGCACAGGAATTGGTAACCCATGGAAAAACACCTGCCAGTAATATTCAACTTACTACATGGTCTTCACAAGTGAAAAAAGTTTGCAAAAAAAGGAAGAAAAAACACTCTCCACACAGAAAAAGCCTAAGAAATACCTCCACAATCTAAATCAATAATTGTGAGGGAAACATAAGAATACTGAGGGCGGAGGAAAGTGATTTTATAATTGCAGGGGCATAATGTATCATCTTTGGCATGGTATGCTTTGGGCTCAGTAGTTTCTGAATGGACTAATAAATCGTGACTATATGTTGAGCGATGATGACTGAAAGTAAGTAAGTTGAGGAACTATGGGACAAGTCTGGGCATTGAACTGAAGAATCCTCATCATCCTTCTTGAGTTAACCAGGTCATCGTCTTACGTATTCTTTCTTCCTCTCCTTTTTCCTCTTTTCACTTAGTGTGATATACATACTAATGAATTGAGCTCATAAATGTTACTCAAATAAAACGATTGGAATACTTCATATGTTTCCTTCTTGTACAGCTGCAAATGTTGTGTCTGGAACTATGAATCTGTGCTGTAGACAAGCATCAAGAAGGAAAGATCCGATAAAACAAGCAAGGAAAATACCTAGAGAAATAGTGAAACCAGGAAGTCAGATTTTTAATGCTGCTTCTCTTTCATTTTTAGATGAATATGTTTCTTCCTTCCTTGAATTCTAGAAGATTTTGAAAGATTGCTTACTTGATGTGCTTTAATTCTGGCATTTGTTTTTGGTAGGATGAAAAGTCTGTGATTCCTTGTAGCAGAAAAAAAGGGAAAAGTAAAGGAAAAACAGCTTGACATTTAAGCCTGTTTTGGAAGAGAGAGAACTTCATGGTTCACCTGAGGCAAACTTATCTGCTTTAAAAGCTAAAAGCTTTGGAGCATTTTTGATTCCGCTGTAAATGAAGAGGGGGTTTCTTTGTCATTCGTGTGTGGCAGCAAAAAGTGGGAAAGCAGGCAAGATAGCGTGATAAACGGTTCAGGCTCTGTTGGGTCTCTGGTGGAAAAAAAGTGCTGCAATGAAAATTGGATTGGCTTTGGATTGCAAAAACGTTTGAATCCAAGGAGCGGTTCAGTACCAAGAGGGATTTCCCATCTGGCCTGGCACACCAGTGCCTGCACAAGTTTGGGTCTGTTGTTTCGCACAGTTTGTGTGCCTTTTTTTCCCTTTATGCAATCTCTTTCAGCTTTAGCAGCAGAAATACGTCAGATGGAAAAGATATGCCAGAGGGCAGCTTGGAAAAGATGAATGTCATATATATACATATGTATGTGCGTGTGTTTAAATTTCTGCAACTGAACTTTTGAAGAAAATCTGACTGGAGGAAATCTTAAAAGCCTTAAGTTACTTGAAACCTACACATTTGCAACTCTTTGTCTCTGGAATTGCATTACGCTAAACTGGAATCTCAGGCTGTATAAAGATTATATCAAGTTGAGCAAAAAGATGACTTAACCATTTCTTGAGCGCCTCTTTCGAAGTAGCTGTCTCTCCAAAGGATAAGTGCACCCTCACTCTACAGACTCAACAACAAAAAATGAACCTGAATTTTTTTTTAAGTGTTACTTTTTCTTAGCCAACTGCCATCATCTTTTATAGAGGAATTTTTCACTATGCATTTGGTGGATATTTATAAACACTGACCCCATCCTCCTCCCTTTCAATGATCTATCCCAGGTCAGTCTTATCAATAAAAAACAAAAAAATTGGTTTCAATTTTGTGCGCTAGACACATTACTTTCCTATGTCAAAAAATAAAATATTTAAAAAGCATGTATGCAGCAGTGGAACATGGGCCTGTTCTTTGCAGCGACTCCAACATCCTCTGCCTCTCCTGGAAAGGCAGAGTCCCCAAAAGTGAGAAGGAGAAACCCGTGTGCAGGCGGCGGTACTATGAGGAAGGCTGGTTGGCAACAGGCAATGGCAGAGGAGTTGTAGGCGTCACTTTTACTTCCAGCCATTGCAGGAGGGACCGGAACACCCCTCAGAGAATCAACTTCAATTTGAGGGGCCACAACAGTGAGGTAAGCAAACCGTGTGTTATGATTCAAAGATTGAGTGATGCTGGCTTTGGAAATGATAGCATTAATTCTTTTGTAGTGTTTCTGGATGTAGCGTGGTGGGAGAGCATGGAGGAGGCTCAGGACTAATCCAGATGTGTTTGGAGTTTTTTTGGTAAACTGAAAAGCATGAGGCTTATGTTGAGGATGTTCTTTGAAAGTGGATCTGGAATTTGCCCAGTTTCCAGCAAATTCAACAAATGCGTGTCAGAATTTTGAAAGCTTTGATAGCTGATGGCTTTTACACAGTATTAAAGTCTGTCTTGGAAGACTAATAGAAAGGCAGAGGGATGAAAGAGTTGCTTAGGCAAAGCCTATCAGTTTTTATGAAATCACAGACTGAACTGTTCTGCAGCAGGTGACAGTGACGTGTAGGTCTGCACACAAGTGTGTATGGACAGGAGTGTTTTGTGTATTATATATATTGTTACAGATAAAAGACAAATTCATGTACATATTTGTATGAAATTCTGTCAAAAAAATGTAGAGGCAACTTTTCGCAAGGGAAAGAGCGGTGTTTGCATCCAGCAGTTTGCTTTGGGCCATCTTGAGTTATCAGTATATCTTTTATTTGCATATTGGGGTTTGTTTTTTGAAACGTGAGATACAAGACCACTTTTGCTGTTGCTTAATATGTGTCGTGGAAACACCAGAAGAAGTGCTGCTAATGGGGACGTGAAGTCTTGTTGCAGAACACAGAACTATGGGGCTAGGCTTAACGTGTGCCAGTTAAGTGAGAAAGTTGCTGGTGTGCGTGCTGCCTTCTGGTTCTGGTTAATTTAGCTATATTTACGCAGTCATTCATAACATTCTTTTCCTGGGTTGCAGCATCATTGCTCTGCAGACTGAGCCATGCCACTTGTATGTCCTTTCTCCAGTGATTGGCATTCGAGTCTCAAATGAGAATGTTCTGTGTGAAAGTTTTTGGGTGTGGGTTCTTAAATTATGTTTGGCCAAGCCTGTCATTAACAATAATAATGAATAAGGTTGTGTTTCTAGAAATCTTCCTGGTTAGGAACTAATGTGTGAAAGACTAGAATAGAGGCTAGCAATTTACTTCTCTGCATGGGGCTACAAGGCTGATGTGATGGTGTCAAATGTACCATGCTTAAAGAAGGGAATCGCTTTTTGGGCAGTTAGCTTTGTGGTGGCTGTTTGGCTCCTGCCAGATTTTTTGAGCATTGGTGTGGAGGAAAGCTTGTGCATACAAGATGATGTATTATGCAAAACTCTTCACTGGACTTAGTGAACATTGTCCTGTTTCTTAGAGGATAATCACTGGTTTGGGAGGGAATGAAACTGTAATGCTGGGTTTGTTACTGGCGAAAGGTAAATAGTGTATTGGACAAGAAGATTGTTTCTTTAGAAAATATTTTCGTTTTAAGTTAATCTCTTGAAAGATTCTTTAAATAAAATGTTGGAATGGCTCCACTTAAAGCTAGTGTGACAAGTGAAGTTTATTGTTTTTCTGACATATGTTCCTGCTCTAATATCACTGTGCTTCAGTTATAAAGCATGAAGTGCTTTAATGAATGAGCATGAGAGGTGAAAACACGGAAGCTAGAAGCTTTCGGTTTGGAATATAATAAGCAATATGCTGTAGGCAGAGCAGTACACTGTATTTCAGTTTTAGAGTGAAAATCTGGAAAAGGTAAAGCAGTGTTGTGCTTTGGGCAAGAACATGAGCCTATTTTTAAGCAGGTCATGAAGGTGGATGCTAGTCATGTATTTTTGCGGTGTTTTTATGATTGCTGAAAAGATTCCGTGGAACCTTTTGGTACACAGCTCCTTTTTTGTCTGTAGAAGCAATGCCTACAGCGTATCAGAACGAGTAAGAATGTAAAATCCCTGGGACTGAATTACTGGCAGGCACATTACAGTGGTGCACTTGTATGATTCATTGGATGAGACAATAACTGTGAACAAAGTGCTTGGTAGCCTGAACCAGGGTTGTTTTTACAATTGCTTCAAGGTTGGTTATTAGCATTGGAAACTGGGAAGTGGCTGTTACAATATTTTAATTAACGTCCTGATGTTTTTGTAGTTTCTAGGGAAGAGCAAGGGATTAAAATAAGCGTATTCCGTTTTTTCTATGTCAGAGAGTGAAATTACTGCATTTTGTGATAGATACTTTTTCCATTTTGGATAATATTTATAGTCTTGATTCTCATTAACATAATGCTCAGAATTCTAACAACTAAAAATGGATGCGTATCTTCCAATGAAAGATTACAAGGTGCCTATAAATCAAATTGGTTGGATGGTGCTGATGTAGGCGTTCTGTTAATGGGTTTCTACTGTATTAAAAGGCTAATGGCTTCTGTGGCACTTGATGTTTTAAAAATTATTAGTGTTTTCAAAATTATTTTGTGTATGTTTATTTTTCATTGTGCTAACTAATAAGGCATCTTTGATATATTTTAGTAAGATTCGGTATGCTAGTTTCTGGACTGAAATGTTGAAAAAGTAGCACAAGAATATGCAAATTCTGATGCAGCAAATTAAGTAGCCTACTGAATACATTAGAGAGTATGCATAGCAGTTTTAACTGTAATCGTAAAGTAAACTGCACATTTGTTTAATTTTTTTGGATTGTCCAAGTGCATGACTGTAACTGCAAAAAATACCCTGTTTGCTTTAGCACAGGATTTAGAAGTGGGAAGGGATATAAACATGTCTCAGCTGGGCTGTCCAATGAATTATTTTTAGTTGCAGCTTTTCAAAAGAACCCAGTCCTTAAAAAAAAAAAAAAAAAAATTCAAGAACTATTGCTTTTCATACTGCATTGTTTTATATAAGTCTCTGGACGGCTCTTATCTTGGGTTTGTTTTAGAGCAAAAGGAAGTTACAAGTCCTCTTTCCTATGTTAAAAAGAAATCCTTCCTTCTTTTCTGTCCACCTTTTTGGACTTGTGTGTAAAAGTTCTGAGCAGTTCTGGCAACACAGACTCTTTCCAGAGGTCCATTAAAAATAAAAACAAACAAATATACCTTTTCAGCAGTGTTCGTTGGTTTGTAGTGTTACTGCTAAGAAAATAGGAGAAATTATAGACACAGATATGTTTTAATTGTAACTGACATTTGAATCTCTACTATGATTTCTTTTATGATTAGAAAAGAAGCCTTGACAGCTTAGGGATCGGTCATTGCCTTCTGGAAAAGCTGTGATTTGTGGACGCTTAAGAAATCTCGAGGTAGAGAGATGCTGTAACAATGCCTTTTGGCTACAGGCTCCTCCGTGGTCCAAGGCACACGCTGATGTAAACTGCAGTGGTACTGCAGATCTCTCCTGCTTTCCTGTCTGCACAGACAAGACAGGACAAGGTTTAGAGGCAGAAATGTTACCTTTTTGGTTAAGGCAAGCTTGTGTAATTGGAGAAATAAAACAAGCTTTTGGGCATACATGGTGCTGAAAGGACTTGTATTTCTGAAAGCTTGCCTGATTTTTACAACCCTGCTAGTTAATATAATAAAAGTTGTGAAGTCTGTCTACGAACCATGTCCTTCCTCTGTCCTCAAACTGTTGTATGAAACAACAACAACAAAAAAAAAAACCAACACTGCAGAGACGGGCAGAATTACTGCTTCTGTGAGAAGGGTCCTGCTGGGGAGTGGATCCTCTGTCTTTCTGAACTGGATGTTGACTTTTGCATTAAGACTGTTATTGCCTGGTTATTCTCAGTACTTATTTTCAGGAAGGATAAAGACACTGAGGTTTTGTGTAGACTCTTTGATTTGAACCTTTTTGAACTGTTTTCTTTGGGCTTAAGCTGGTTGTTTTTGTGCTTTTAATTTCTTAATGCAGGCTTTATAAGAGCTAAAATACATTTTTATTCTCTTGATTAATCAGTAATTCTAAATCAGATTCTTGATAAAGCTTAAATATGTTCGATGGCATACAAAAAGTCTTTTGTAGCCTTCGCTCTACATGTAGTGAAGGAGTGAGATAACTATTGACTGTTGGCATATGAGCACCTGAAAAAGGAAAGTCACGAGTCAGTATGTCATTACGAAGGCCTTGCCTGCATAAGCATAGCTACAGGATCTACTGAGCATCTGAATATTGGAGAAATCAGGTTTTACGATACAATTTCTGAGCCATAATAATCATTAAGGACATTGCCTTTGCTTTAAACTGTTCCCAGAGGAATTCATCAAATTAGAGATAGTCTGAACAGATAAGGTACCCATTACAAACTATAAACATTTCACAATATAATTGAACATAAAGCACCAAGTAATTGCTTGTCAAGTATAGCTAGAATGCAATAGCATAGACAGAAAAAAATGTCAGCACTCGTCCTTGGGCAACTGGTATCTGTTCTGATAGTGTCTTTCATGAGCACATGCAAGCTTCTGAGGGAATGCTCAGCATTCGCTGTACATTAGGAGCTTCTGTGAAGAGAAGCTATCTGTTTGTCTAACCAATGTTACAGAAAATAACAAAAATTAATTGTAATCGAGAAATCTTATTTTTGTGAATTTTTAAACAGAAATCGTTTTAAGGTTTCAAAATAAATTTGTGATGTTCCAGCTCTGGAATTATTTGTGAAATGATTGTATTGGAAAATTTTATCTTTATACATTCATAATTATTATTGTTTTTACATTTTAAGGAAATGAAATGTACACAGCTTTATTAATGGAAGTAGCACCAAAAAGTAGCTTTTGGTTAGCCTGGTCAGAATGTAACATAAATGGAAAGTATAGTGGTTTCACTTGTATTCAAGAGACTTGTCAAAGCTTCTGGCCACAACAAGACTCCAGCAGAAGGGGAGCTCAGTTCACTCACTCTGGCTAGTAACAAGGCTCTCAGGTTGGTGGTGGAAGACAAGGTTCTCAGGTTGATGGAGCCTCTTTTGGCAATTTTGATTGCTCTCTATTGGCAACAGAAATCTGTTTGTACATCTGTGTGAAAACCTTTGGATCTGAACTGGTGGAATGGCATCAAAAGCCAGAGCTGTT